ATCTTCCATATGCCAGATTGATTGATGACATTTATTTGCTATTTATAAACGTAGCTCACCTGGTAGAGCTGGTTCCTCATGTACAAAGTTCTTACTGCAGCCTTGACATGAAGCCCCCATCACAAAAATACAACATAAAAATCATCATTGGTGAATGCTCTCCTCTGATGGCTGTCTTCTCTGTTTACTTGTAGATATGATTCCAGAAAATGCTTTGGAAGAGATGACCAAGAACATGGACCCTAACTTGGTGATTGTTGAGGCCAAGGATGGAGTTCAGATGAAGTAAGTCTGAGTATCATAAAACCATATAACACTGATGTATGGAGATAATTAGATATAAACCCAGAGGAAGGAAGGAGATCTGTGGTATTGTGTTTGTGGTTTTGTTGTGTGACAAAATTTTGTCTGTCTAGTTTGAATGTTATCCTGTCCTGGTCCTGAAGGTTGCAATTAAATGATACGTTTTTCTTTTTGCTTCAGGCTCTCTCAGTTTCCTGCCCTTGAGCTGGACAAGTTCCTGGAAGATGTAAGGTAAGAAAACGAATTAGAAGCATGTTTGCTGTTGATTTGCCTCTGATTTTGAAGATTCTGGCTGCTGATAAAAGTAGGTGGGGAAAGTCAAATTTGTCAAACTCTACTGAAACAATCAAGGGCCACAAATGGGAAGTTGTTGTATTGTAGTAAAAATACGTGATGAAGTCTGTAAAACATGAAGTAGGGCATCGTATGTACACATTATACATGCATAGTCAGCGAAACTCTGGATTTAAAAATATCCTGCAGTGTTCGGGGCACAACTGTACAGCATTAAATCATCTGCAGTTGTCCTGAAGTTGTGCCTGCTTTTTCTTTGATGTTCCAGGAATGGGATCTATCCTCTGACTGCGTTTGGGGTCCCATGTCCACAGCAGCCCCAACAGGAGGCGGTGAAGTCGCCCATAGTGCCCCCCTCAGTGAAAACCCCAACTCCTGAACCTGCAGAGCTTGAGACCAGGAAGGTAAGATCATAATTTGGTAAATCCCTGCTATTACACAACCTTTCTAGATTTTTATATCATTAAATGTCCAAGACAGGGTAGGAAACAGTTGAATATTCCAAACAATTGAGAATATACATATATATATATATATATATATATATATATATATATATATATATATATATATATATTGAAAGTACATTTTTAGGTCCTATTTGTGTGCATGAAAACAAGTTGTAGTCTGTTTATTAAAACACCAGACTAACTTTATGCTGAATGCAAGTTTTTTCAGTGTTAAATTATTTGCTTACAGTTTTGGATTTGCTTTTACACAGAGACATTTGCATGTGCTGCGTGTCGATGTGTCATTTATATATAGCTCTTTTCTGTGGCTTCGCAGGTCCTTCAGATGCAGTGCAATATCGAGCCTGTTGATGAGGGCACCAAGCATCATGTAAGTTTCAATTCTGCCTGTCTGAAAATGTTCCTTCCTCTATTGTCTGTCATATTTTAAAGCGCTTTATGCTTTATTACTTTAAAATTATTTATTTTATTCTCCCTTCAGCTGACCCTGCTGCTGAAACTTGAGGATAAGTTGAACAGGCACTTAAGCTGTGATTTGTTACCAAGTGAGTATGAATATATGTGTATATATCATTTCTGTCACCATCAGATTATTTATGCCTTTATTCGATAGTTGAAATTATTAGAGTGATGATGATGATGAAGTGGGTGGAGAGGGAGATGGGGAATAACATGCAGTCTTCCATTGCTGCCGTTTTTGAATTGTTGCTTTTACGGCGCATTAGCGTCACCGACTGTTACTTCCTAAATGTATAAATGCATTTCACATCTCACATGGCCTCTTTAGTTGCGGCTGCCGTATGCTGTACTGTGAATACTGGTAGAACATACAGTTCACACTATATGGGAAGCCTGCTCTACATCGCCACTCATGGTCAAAGCTCCACAGTACACTTTAAAGGCACATTATTTGATAGTTGATAATGTTGACATGATGCAGTTGTTGCAAAAAAAGGAAAGACGAGGTATCTTCACACCTCACCCTGTGTTTCTTTGACTGACTTTTTGTTCAGATGAGAGCGTGCAGGAGCTGGCTGTGGAGCTCGTTCAGCTGGGATTCATCAGTGAGGTAAGGTCATCGTCATCATGTTCCTGCTGACCTGAACACTTACCTTGAGGATAAAAACCGCCCCTATTACTTAACCTCCCTGTCTCTCCATTTCAGGGCGATCAGCCACGACTTGCATCAGTTCTTGAAGAGGCCTTCTCAAAGTTCTACAGCCGTAACGGTTCCCTCAATCCGGTGACTGTTTCCTCGTAGCGGAGGACTCACTAGGCCTTCTTTCAGCCCTCCTCGTCCTCTTCAACAGGACTAGCTTTTTGCTTCACCTCTGAGTTGCAGGAAAGCCTTTGCGAGGACAGAGGAGGAAGCCTTGGTCTGGTTGCAGATCCTGCAGCCTGTTCTTGTATCTTCTGGTGGGAAAAGCTGCCACTAAGTGGTTGTCGCTTTCTATCTTTTTTTTTTCCCCTCCCACCCAATACAGCCATCTGCTTCTCTTTTAAAAGAGGAAATCCTAGTTGCAACTTAATGGAAAATACAGATGTTTTCACTTTTTTGGCTTTTTCTTCTTCTGAAGTAGTGAAGAAATGGTGGAGGTGAGCCACATAAAACTGTATAACAGCTGTATTTTCTCTAAGTCAGTATTAAAGCTGTATTTTAAACATTTCTACTTAAAATTGTTAAATAGTTGTCTGTATGAAGAAAAAAAAAAGATCTTTGTCCTGGCATACTGAAGTGTATGTATTATGGTGTTGTAAGGTTAATTCTGGTTGTCTGGTTGTCTTTCTCTTGAGCAGCAAGTGAGGCATCTTCCTACCTTGTATCATTTTTTTCCCCCGAAGACTCTCGAATGCATCAAGCTAGTAATGCAACAGATGCAACGTCACTTTTACTTTCAGAAATTCTGTAATTATACAACGTAGTCATGAAACATGCAGCTGCAACACAATCGGAAGAGCTACAGCTAAAGTATAAAACTAACTATTTATTTGTGTGTCTTTTCTTGAGTGTGTTCTGTAATTCACTTCCAGCACTAAGGCCGGTGGTTGTTTGAATGTATGCTTTTAGTTGCTCTCTTTCTTTAAATCAAGCTGTTATTTTCTGTGAAAAAAACGGGGGTGTCGTCACTTGACTGTGGTCCAATTACTACTGTAGCTTCTGTTTTTTTTACGAGTAGCCCATTGCAACACTTACTGATTAGGGCTAGGTCAATAAAAAGTTGTCTTTGGGTGGCGTTTTACACAGGAGAGGGTGGTTAGATCTATGTGAAGATGCTTTTTGCGTTCAAGCATGTGATCTGAGGGATGTTTTTGTCAGCAGGTTTGGTTGAATGCATGTGTTGCTTTTCTGTGTCTAAATGGAAACTGGTGCATGCAACAAGCTTTCTTCAGATTAGATTTCTTCTTTCGGATGGTGATAGATTTAAGTAATTTATCATATGGAGGAAGTTATGTCAGCCTAGACCCATCGACATTTAGATTTTGTGGCTCTGAATCAGTAGTTTCCTTCATGGCTGAGATATTGTGTGCAATACCACAGCTAAAAACTTGCCCTCCCACGTAGATATTCAGTTATTGGCTCGGACCACCCTTCTATGTTAACTGTTTGGAAATCTCTCTGCTAGTTTGCACTGCTGTACACTTTTATATCCTGTATGAAATGTCCCGTGGCCTCTAGCTCCTGCACACCAACAGGAGGAACTTAGATGAATTGGAAATGGCTTCATTAAAAAAAAATTTAGTCCGTGATCCAGTCTCGTCTGCTCTATGCTGTGACTACCTTCTGACAGGGTCTGTAGATACTGCGAGATACAAGTGTGGGGACTGCCTGGCATGCTTGTAACCATCTTGTACACTGTATGCTGGACACTGTGCTCTGTTTCTGCAACGCATTTACCCTCTTTTTTCACTTCCTGAAATAAAAATTTACAGCACTTCAAGGTCTTTGTTTGGTGTTGTCTTGTGTTGGTCAAAAGTTCACGGCTGCTGTATGAGGGGATTTCCACCCATACACAAAACTAAACAATAAGCTTTATACTGAAATGTCAAATTTCCTGATCAAGGAAAGTATATTTTTTAGAAGACTTGAGAGGAAATGCTTTCTGTTATGTAATTATAGTGGTTCTGTTATTATAGAGTAAATACGATCATATTAACACGAAGGCAGACTTTGAACAAACGGTGTGTATTTTTCTGCCTAGCTATAGCTAATGTCTGTACATGCAGTACTTTTGCTGTTTGGGGCAATAAAAATAGACTACACAAGTGTTCAAATTCACGCAAATGACACAAGGTGAAGATTTGCTTGGCTTTCAGTCTGAAGACACCATTATAAAGTGAAAAGGAGTTCTAAAAGGATCTGTTCTTGGTCCACTTAAATGTCTGTATGGTGTATGTGTGTGTGTCTGTTCGAATGATTTCATCAGTTTCTGCAGTGTTTACAATCTGCAAACAACCCAGTCTGAATACTCAGGTCAAGCACTTTTTATACATACATAAATGTCTACTTAACCTCCTCAGGTGTACAGAGATTCAGGGTTTCTGGCTCACTAAATCTAGATGCATGTATGAAGAGCAACTCTGGAGAGTTTAACCTCTTTGGGACTATAAAAAAGGAAGACCAGGTGCCAGACTTTCATAGGGAAGGTTGACGTGATGCCGTCTCTTATACTTGGCAGACATATACCCTAGTCCAGTCAGTAGGAGGAGGCCTCTCTTGTCCCTTGTGTGTGGTTTCTTATGGGGTGGGAGAAACAAGTGTGTGGCGAGGTCTCGCATACTGGCTAAATGACTAAAATAATCTTTTTAAAAACTTTTAGAATTTGTTTTCTCCTGCAGAAATGTCAGTGTAGTTTTATCTTTCTGATTTAAAAAACGGTTTGTTGTTTTAAAGTCAAATAATTTACACAGACAAAACACACAAATGAGACCAAATTCAATTGTTTAAATTATTTATACAAAAAAACCCATCCTGGTGTCTCAGGAGCGTGATCTCTACTCTCAGAGCATCACTGTTTCAATTCATTATTTGTTCAAAATGTTAAGAAACTGTAGCCCTTGTACAAGTATATTCATGTACATACTTAAAGTCACAATGTGTGCTCAAATAACAGTTGAATAAAACACATTTCATGCTGACGAACACATTGCCGTACAAAATTACAGCAGTATAATAAAAGTACAGCAAGACTAAAAAATATTTTTGATATAAAACACCCTAGAAACGTACTCTAAATAAAAAGCTACCAAAATGGCGACATCCAGTTCATGAGTAGTTTTCAGCTGCGTGGGCATTTTTCAATTCTGTACATTGTGAGTAAAAAAAAAGAAAGAAAAAGAAACAAAAAAACTACAAAAACAGTACATAGCACTTCAATTCAAACACATTACTCTTTCACATTAAATTTGTGTTTAACTTCCCAGTTTGAAAGTAATGTATATAGGCACAGTAATTAAATTCACGTTCGGTCAACACCGTTCCTTGTTTGTTATTCACAACTTTAACTCAGGGACTTTAAGTCTAATTCTGGCCCACATAAATAAATAAACAAATAAATAAATAAATAAATAAAAGTAGCAACCGTTCAGTTTGCTTTCATCACCCTTCGTCTCTTTTCCAGGAGTTTGCCATTGTGGAGCTGAGAGCTGCCGTACATCAAAATGTAGCTGTCAGTTCAAACAAAAAAGATTATCACAGCTCCTCAACTTTATCACTCCAACAACTAAACATCACTATTAATAGTTTTTACAGAAACTCCCAGATTACAGCCGGAAATCTGAATTTCAGCACAATTTCAAATCACCTTAATCCACTATTTACAGGCACTGACAAGAGCATCTTGTTGCATACTTTACTTAAAAGTTAAGAATATGCTGATGCTGTTCGTTAATAAGTATATTTATGCTTTGAGAGAATTGTATATAGAATTGGACCTAACATTTGTATCTCATCAAATAAAGGTTTTATTTCATTTTAAAAATCCAAAGGAAGCCCATAAACACGACTACTGTAACTAGGGCTTGGAGATAATTATAATTAATGTTATAATTTCTCTATAAATATATTGAGACATTGTTCACAGTTCTGACGTCTAAATGAACACATTTTACCAAAATATGTGACAGCAGGAAATCTTTAATATTAATATTTGAATGGGGCTCAACCACAGGGAACAAAGCATATGAAAGTTAATGTTGGCTGAATTCCATTTAGCTGCTTCAGTTTCAGGGTCCTGGTATTGTTCATGCTGGCTAATCACAGCTCACTGGGACACAAGTAGATGTCTGTGGTTTATAGGCTTATTAGATCCTTTTGTTCTAATATATAAATATATTTACTAAAGAGGATTTGGCTCAAGATTTTAACATTTTATCATGTTAGTTTGAACTCTTTAGTCAGATCAAGATCATTGTGTAATAATTAAAACAGAGGTTACTATCGTCTCTAAAGTCTTACAACTTTGTAAGTACAATTCTTCTGATGAAGACATAAATAATATTGAGTGGTTAGTTTTACTTTTATACCAAGAAAAACAAGAGTTGTGGAGAGTCATCAGGTCTTTTAAGGCAACAGTCAGTAACTTATTAGTGGATCCGTTGGGTACCGAGATTTATCTACCCGTAAATTCTGAACTGTGACATGAGTAAAACGGAAAATTCACGATCACTGATCTGAGATCTGAGTTTCTGGCAATAGACGAGAGAGGCAGAACAATCGGGCGCAGCTGTCTTTGACCCGAGTTAACAGGACTCATGAGCTTAGAAACACTTGTTTTGTCTCTTGTGTAGAAATGAAACCAGATTTTACACAAATCTACAGGATCTGAATCTGAACAAATGTTTGTGCTTTTCTCTGGCGCATCCCAACGTAAACGGTTCGTGCTGTTAGGACAACTGTATCTTAACATAAAAAGTGTGCCTACAGCAGCTCTGCATATCAGATATCTTATTTTGGAGTGAAACTCTTCGACCCTTGATGTGTGATGAATCAGGAAATATATGTAATAATGTCAGGTTAGCACCATCAGTGCAGCGAAAGGCATTCGACTTGTGGAGGATCATTCTGGTTCCACTCATGGCTGGAAGTGGTTGACTTCGTGGTGTCATTTAGCTCTGTAATAAAATCCATTAGCCCCTTCCCTTCATTGTTTTATAATGAGGGGGTTTGCCAAAGAGGTCTGAGGATCAGAAAAAAGGAGATGACATCCTTTATTTCTTCAAACACTGGTACATCAGTGCTCGTGGATTCAGCATGTAGCGCTCAGAGTTGAGTAACTTGGTGAGATACTGCGGCACGGGAGGCCGAGGGGCCATGTAGGATACGCCGGGACTGACAGCCATCACCTCCGCAATCTTCTGCTTCATCTCCCTTATCTCGCGGTCCTGCTTCATCACTTTATCTGACGGACGGACAGACAGAGACAACATATGAGGGGATGGATAACGCAGGATGTAGCAACAATTATATTCCAAGTCATTTATGAACTATAATGTGTTGAAAAGTTGGATTCTTTATGAGTTATTCTCTTCCCTCAAGTTTCCCCAACTACAAAAATGATTACTATGTAAAGTTTAATACGGTAATTGGGATGAAATAAATTCAAATCCCCTTAATCCAAAGAGGAAATATGCAAAGTTTCAATCCAGTCTGATAACAAAGGTATGTTTATCATGTATTTATCATTTATGGGCTAATTACTATACACTTGCAGAATGTATCAAAGTTGATGTGTGCGTCTGTCACATGAATGTGTTCAAGAGTTATGGCAGTTTATGTAAAATAGGCCACACTCATAAGACTTTGGCAGCCAGTTAAGAGAATAACGGGATATCAAAAAACAAATGAATGAATGTATCATCCAAATACATTATGTATTGTCTGCTGAAGTCTGGATTAAATGTGTAGTAGGAATGGAAAATCTGTGCAGCCTAAGCTAAAACCAAATAGAGAAAATAATTTACTGAACACCTAAAGGTAAAGAGGTAGAGCCACAATATACACAGCTTTATGGCCACATGGTGGGGCTACTGGAAGCAGATTTCGACCAAAAACATATCGATATTTCCTTAGATCTACCTCTCCTCACTATAATAATCTAATCTGATACCATTTTTTAAGATATCCTGTTAACAGACGCATGGACAAACCAGGCTACACACACAAAAGGCACTAAGAAAACACAAGAATTTAACATGAAGTTGAAGAGGGAGACGAACAAATGTTAAGAGAAAGACTGGGAACCTTGAGCAATTTCCAGCTGCCTGCGGGCGTCTCCTAGAGCCGAGAACAGGTCCAGTTTGATGCGAGTCTCAGCGCTCAGGTTGTACTCCAGATGTTGAGCCTTCTCCTGCATGGCTGACAGAGTGGACAGCAGCATGTCTGTCTCTTTCTCCACACAGCGGTACTTTCCCAAAGCCTGAGTCCAAAAGAAGAGAAGACATTAAACAGTAAGAACATGTGGAAAACGTCAAAACACCAATCAAACCAGGTGCGATGACCACCTGAGGGAGTCGCCGCTTTGGTTTCCTAAGTGTTTCTAACTTTTAAATATGTAATTGTGATGTGTCCTTTTGCCTTCATGGACATGTTTCTTTTTCATCCACTTAGGGAACCAAAGCGCTACAGAGATAAACAGCTTCCACACACTGATGATGAATCGGCCAGCCGTTCAAAAAACATGAGAGCTGCCCATTATTAGAGAGATACTCTGAGGGGATGATTCTTTCTGCGTTCACATCGACATTTAACAGTTTCTCGCAGTTTTTGAGGGAGTTGACCTGTACTCTTCTTTTAAAGCAGAGCAATGTTTTTCATGAAAGACCTGGCTTCTGTTTCAGCATGCTTCAATGGAGAGTATGTCACTAGAAATGAAACCAAATACCACACAGTACAACAATGTTCACACCTGATGTCAAAAACAACAACAAAAGGAAACAACCATACAATATTACTGCATACTGGTATGATGACAAAGTGCAATGTGTTGACTGCAGGCCAAAACAAAACAAAATACTAAATGCCTCCATGAAAACCATTCAGTATTTGACTCAAGTTCACAAACACAAAGAATCATAGACAGAAACTGAGGACAAACCAAGTACTGCACCACTTGAGACTCACAGACACTTAAACTCACAAGTTCATTCCCAAATAGTGTAAAAAAAATAAAGATACCTCAATATCACTCTCTAGATCTACCACACGACTCTCTTTCACTTGATACTCCAGCTGTAGTTGTTTGAATTCTGTCTCTAGATCTTTAACTCTTTTCCTTAACATTTGGGTTTCACAGTGTTCCTGCCTGGTGTAGAAGATGGGAAAGATAACAGTTTTGAGCTGTTAAAGAGACGGATTTCATTGGGAATGAAAACCAGTTCACACAGAAAGAAACATTTCATTTTTTACATTGGTCTTGTTTTTTTTGTTTTTTTAATATTCCACACATGTAATGAAGATAGTTACATAAAATACAAGATATACAATATATTAACAATCTGTCAAAATGTCAACGTTAAATTTGACATTTTGGGAAATGCACTTATTAACTTTCTTGCTAAGATTTAATTCCATTATTGGAGAGCAGCGGAGACAACCCTGCGTGCTTCCCAAAGGTTGACGTAACACACACAGAATAATAAGAAAATACAGCAGATAGAGGTAGTGCTACACATCTACTGGGTATATAAGTAAAGACTGAGAGGGATTATCTTTTAATGAGCCTATACATTGTTTGTTTTTTTGGGGGGGGGGGGGGGATCCTACCTAGTATACCTATAATGAGAAAGTCAATATCAATCATCATATCATGTCACTGTCATATCTGTACTTTCAACATAACTATTACCTGCCTACCCTCTAAAGCTCACTAATTACGTTTCATTTAAGTTATAGCTCATTTGCTATTTATTTTTATTAATAATTGAGCTTTAAAAGGTGCTTGTAGGCAGATTTTCTTACCTTTGGACAGAGCCATTCTAGCTGTTTTCCTCTGTTTTCAGTCTTTATGCTAAGCTAAGCTAACAGTGCACAGACATGAATGTGGTATCAATCTCTTAATCTAACTCTCGACAAAAAGCAAACGAGCATATTCAAACAATTTCTACAAACGTGTGACTGTACACTCACAGCAGCATTTCATAATAATCAGTAGAAATCAAATGCAGATCCAGCTTTACTTTCCAGGCACAAAGCAGCTTCAGAAAAAAGGAACTGTAAAGGTTTTGATATGTGTAACGTACCTGTTTGTCAGACTCCGTGCTGTGCTGGCTGCTTCCTCCAGTTTCTGAGCCTGAAGCTCAGCCAACTGTTTCTCAACGGAGAGTCTGGCCTCCGTCTCCGCTCTGGTCTTCTTCTCCAGCATCGCACTGCTCTGTTTGTCCCTCTGCTTGGTTTTAGTCAGACACAGAATCCTGGAAAGGGAAAAAAAACATTAAACTTGCTTTAAATAACGTCAAAAACAAGACCATAAATAACTGCGTTACTGCAACTTCAGAACGCCTTGAAAACAGATCATCCTTGTGGCTGCTGAGTCACTGGAGAGCGCCTTGCTTTAAAAACTGGAGCACGTCTCATCACAACTGTGCATAACACACTCATCTCGAACAGGGTTTAAAGCCTCTGGCTACTGGATGAGGATTTTATGTGGTGAATGTGTTCAGAGTTCAACTGTAACTTGAAACACTAAGTAACATGTTTTTCAGAACTGTTTTAAGCTTTGAGAACTAATCTGTTTTTCCACATAAAACTGTGGAGTCACATTACTATTGTGAGACACATACTTACATTCACAATAAGCAAAATAAAGCCTAACCCTGCATTAATCATCTGAATCTCGCTCTGTAAAAGTATTCAACTGTTAAAAATTAATCAGCAACCATTTCAATAATGGATTAGTTGTCAAAAGTCCCAAAATTTATACATTTCCGCTTCTAAAATGTGATTTTTTTTTGCTGTTCTTACTCTACTGTGACAGTAAATTAGACATATTTGGGGTTTGGATTGAATAAAAGCAAAATGCAAAGAAACAGACTAATCAGTATCCATTATTAGTTATAACTGAACAATGTTGTAAATCAACAATCAAAGAAAGTGGATAGTGGATGTTACCTTCATACATTAGAATATTTACTGAAGTCATGTATTTAAGATCTCCTGCCATGAAATATTATTAAGATTCAAGTACTTATGATTCATTTATGCATGAGAATTATGAGCCACAATCCCTAAATATGCCTTTGTGTGATATCAATTATGATCCAGCTTAAAAGACATCCATCAATAACATCTGACCATAAAACTGTTTTTTTTCTGCTTGCATTCATCCCAGTCTTACTCTTTTATTAACAGACTGATGTAATGTGTAAAACAGCCCACAGAAGGAGCCAAAGACGAGCGTTTGGCAGCGTATCAGGCGGATGACTCACTTGCTGTGGAGCAGCATGTTGGACTGTCTGAGCAGGGAAACCTCTGGTCTCAGGCTCCTCTCGCTGTTGGTCAAGTTGCAGATGTGACTCCGCAGCTCCTGCTCACTCTGCCTGCTCGTCTGCAGCTCGCCCTTCAGCCTCCTCAGCTCCTGCTCCAGCCTGAGAGACAATAATAAAGGTTGAGTTACAGGGAGGGAAAGAGCAATGATTTCACTAAAACTGTCCAACTGAAGTTAATAGTGGCATACTTGTTCATGTGTTCAGCGTGGTAATTCTGAGCTGCTGTGGCTGTGCTCTTGTCTGTTGCGTCCCGGTTAGGGCTGACTGTCTTTGAGCTGGATCTCTGTTTCTTCTCAGTCCTCCCCGCAGGTGGCGAAGGAGTGTTTGTGCTGCCTCTGCTGGCTTTTGGCGAGGAGCTTTTAGCCGGCCGTGTGGCTTTGCTTCCTGGCTCATCTTGAGGTAGATTTTCTGGGGTCGTAGAGGATTCTGGTCCTCCTGCCCCGCAGTGGAGCAGATCTCTGGCCTCACCAGGTTTGGATGATGACGGCCGCCGGTTTGATTCGGCTGACCTCACCTCCTGTGTTCCTTTCTCTGTCGCTCTCTCCTCACTGCGGATCTGGAGGCAGTCCACAGTATGTCCCTCATCGTGGGCCACGACAGCGCCGTTCTGACACTGGTACTGAGTCGACTCAGACTTTATCTTCCATTTAGAGCCTGCAAGTACAGGCAGAAACAAGAAGAAGGTAATATCCTCATTCTGCTATGATCTCAATTGTGCAAACGGGAAATGAACAGCGCAAATACATGTTCAGTCTGCTGTCTTCAAAAGTTAATTTGCTGCGTTTAGGTATTACGAAGTCCAAAGGATTCCTCTCCTGGCAACTTGACTGACTGATCTGTACTCTAACTGACCTCCTCTGGTATTTAGAGCAGAAAACAAGGCATTAAAAGGCATGAAAATAAGAAGCAGTCCTCTTATTATTGTTCTACTACCACAAAACAACAACACCCTTGCAGAGACCATCCTGCACCAGGTTGGGTATGTTGTATAACGGGTAAAATTAAGAGTTTACAGGTACGGGAACGGATAAAAGTAAATGGGCAGCGAATGCAAACAAGCAAATGTGTTTTGTCTGGAGAAATCAGAAATATAAATGACAATCTATTTTTAACTTTTATCAAAACTAATCAGCCTGCAGGAATTTTCTGAATTCTGCAAGCTCACACATCCTTTCTCTGCAGCTGGAGCTCAGGTACCAGTTGACAGAAACTTTTCCAAGAACACAACTCTCAAACTGCCAAAACAGGAAGACAAGGACGCTATGATTCAGTTAGCGGAAACGTGTTTTTTTTTTTGGGCCAGGACATCAGATCGTTGGAAACTATGTGTGGTGATGGATTCAGCGAAACTGACACAGTGCTTTATTTACATTGGTGACCAGCTGGGCCTGTGGACGCAGCAGCATCATAGTGAGTTCAGTTACATAGCCAGTGATTGATTCCACCAAACTGACTGAAGTTAATTATTTCTATATGCTAACACTTCTAACGGTGCATGTAAAAATACGACTGTGTGTCTTTATATTAACCTACTGAGCTATGTGGGGGAACTGTGATTGTCTCTGAGCAATATCCGCTGCCATGTGTCATAATTTTCACCTGGATAAAATAAAACAGAGATAATTGCATTGTGTAAGAACTCCCTCATTGGCATGACTCATCGCCTGTAGAGTGAATTAACTTGTAAATCAGGCGGGTGACGTACGGCTGTATTATTAAAACTGTAGAAAATGCATTAAAGTAATAATAATTTTCACATCAATAAAGTAACAATTTATAATTATGGTTGTTAAAACCCAGTTTTTGATAAGTGTTCCTCCACAGCGCATTTGGAATAAACAGTACAGTATTGAGTGGTTACTTTGAACGATGATCACACAAACAAAAGAGCAGTGTCTCCGGTCTCATAGCACTGGACACACAACTAGACCAGCAAACACAAATAAATTAGATTGTAAAAATGCTGGATGTAAGCGTGTATAGATCAAAGAAGCAGAAGACTCACTGCTGCTGCCATCTGTGCCAGTCTTGGGGTAAACCTGCAGGCCTGGAGGGAGCGAGTGCTGCAGGAGGTGCATGTGGAAGTCGTTCTCGCTCTGCACTGATTTCTGTATGCGCAGCTTGAAGATGTTGGTGAAATAGCAGGTGGCATAAAACCCCAGATACACCACAGGATATCCAATGCTGGAAGTGAATACAAAGGGGAGAAGACACATATAAACACATCTCGCCTAACATATTTCAGCTCTCAATAGTTACTCTAATCCTTTCATTCATGGTTTATCATTAGCTAGCAGCATTAAGAGAATTTACTCCTGTAATCGACAGTGCAGAAACACCAAAATCGATCGAAAGTCGATTCATAATATCACAGAGGGGAGTAATGAAAACGTAAAACTGAATCGGCTCAATAAATTTAAGTAAGAAATCTAAATTCTGATAAAAGGGTGATTTTAGATCAACATACCAGTGTGCAGCAAATAGATGAGACAGGTTGGCATGAGAGGTTTTAAGGTCTTTGAGTCGAAGTGAAGCTTCTGTGTACACGAGCAGAATCCACAGCGACACTGTCGATATGCAGATGCCTTTTTCTGCAGAAACGTGAAATAAAATAAAATCACTGCTAATTCATTTAAATTAGGGAGGCACTGATCGGGAAATTCTCGGCCAGTATCAGTGTTTAAAGTAACAATTTGGCCTTTTTTGTTGTTATTTATGTGCCTTTTTGTGCCAGAGAAACAAAGAAATCTACCACTTAATTATATATAATATATATAATCATATGTGTGGGCACATACTCACCTGTGTGCCATATGTAATTGAATAATACATAGGTGCTCGCCACAAAGAACAGCCAGTGCAAAGGAACAAAAATTAAACAAAAGATGTCCAGAGTGAAGGCCGCACAAACAAAAACAACACAAATAACCTGCAAACAAAGAAAAGATTCATTTCAGTAAAGACGTGTTTGATTCAGTCCGCGTGATTGTCATCATCTGGAGCTACTTGCACACAACAGCGGGGGGGGGGTTTCTCACCAGCCCGTGGCAGTGGAAAGTGGTGTATACACTTCCAAAGAAGAGCCAGCACGGCCACAGATACTCCAGTCTGAATTCGAGGATGAAATCTGCCAGCAGCACCAGCGTCCACATCATCATAAACTTCAGGACGGTGTACGCGCTGCGGAGAGGCAGAGGGACAGTCAAAAGTCTGTCACTGTTACTATCATACAGTCATATCATACAGGGGGGTGTGTTCAGTGTTCAGTTTGGATAAATATGAAACAAAACGTGTATTCCAGCTTTTGATTCTAGTAAATAATGACACTTTAGATACAAGGAATTAAACACACACACACAAGAAGTCAAGACTGGGAATCGGATAAACGTCGCTGAAGCTCTAATTGAGCAGCTGCATCTTGAACACGGCGTTTAACTGGAGGCGCTAAAAGAACAATGACTGCTCCCTCGTTCGTTCTATTAGGCGACCACGAGCCAAAACAGGGGCTGTGGTTTCCTCCTTTGTTCCCGCTCATCCATAGGCTGCTATCACATCACCCCTTCTTTGTTTGGTAACCATGGCAATATTTCATCTGGAGGAGAGAGGGAGCACCACAGCATCCTACTGCACATAGTTCACATCTCCCTTTTAATGGTACTGATGTGTAAAGTGCATTTTAATTTATCTTAGAGGTATTTTTACGATAGATGCTACATATGGAAGGTATTTGACAACAATAAAACACAGTATTTTATCTAAATAAAAGAGCATATTTAATTCTTAATACAAGTTCATATTTGTCCCTTTTTAATGTTCCTGAAAGTGTTTTAATTTATCAAATTGAAATGCCAAATATGCAAACACAAAATAAACAAACACAATATTCAATCTTTAAGAGTAAAGAGGGAGAGAAAGGGAGGACGTTAGCATTTAAAATTCTTCAAAGAAGTTTATATATAAGTAAAAATAAATTATTATTAAATTAGTGTATTTTAATTTATCCTACAGGTATTTTTAATCACATCAGACAAATTATTGCAAGTGCAAGTTATTCCCCAATAAAATAATTATATATCATGAAAACACCCTTAAAAGAAGAATTATGATTTTAAAATGACACAATATTAACCTGTTTTCATTAAATGTGAAATAATTCAGTTAAAAACAAGTGGTTCACGTCTCCTGAGGCAATCTTTTCTTGTCTGGACGTCTGTCTAGACGCTTCTAAATTATTATTTTTTTATGTGCAAAAAATGAGCAGCCTTTCTTTCCTGGAAATACACAGCTGCTAATATTTTAATACCACAACGTTGTTAATTAAACGGATAAGTCTGAGGACACACAGGAGGGAGCGGATGAAAACAGCCTGAAAGCAGAAAGCAGGCCGACGTTAACGAGCACACAGCTGCTCATTTTTCTGCCTTTTTTCTGTAAACAAATGAAGTAACTCTCAGTCTCCGCAGTCCGACCCTGCAGGAAACCCTTCCATTAAAACCTCCAGGGTCTGGCCTCATTTATTAATTACAAAACCAACAAATAACGTGATGGAGTGATGCGAGCGAGGCAGGCAGACACAGACAGGTGACGACGGCTGAAATTCACACAAAGACGGACACCACAACAAAAGCAGCCTCCGCCAGGCGACCGCCGCGGCTGCAGCTCGCTACCTTTCAGACAGCTTCTCCGTTATCTTCAGCTTCTTCATTTTCCGTAGCCTGTTCGCGTCCACATGACGTTTCTTCATCTTATGGCTTCTGCTCCCTCCGTGCTGTTTTTAATTGTGCTTTTACAACAGCAGCAGCAGAAACAGCAGCAGCAGCAGCGAGGAGGAAAAGAAACACACAGAAAATAACAGAGAGGGAAAAAGAGAGAGAAAGAGAGAGAGAGAGAGAGAGAGATCCCTCCTTGTGGAAGAGGATGTTCAGTTCAACCTGTGATTATGTCTGAGCGTTCTGCGCATGCTCAGTGGGTGTTGTACCTACAAGTGTTCATCGCAGGAGGGGAGCAGATCAACACCGTGTTACACTGATGTTGCGTTGATTGCTGTGTTGTTGTTATTATGGGCCTTTTTCACAGCAGCCATTTTGATAGGAAGTGAGTAGGGTAAATCGCAGGTGTTAGCGGTGATAGTCGTTAAGGTTGATTTTTAGTGTTTGCAGAGGCTGTGAGACAACACGCACACCATGGGGTTTGATTGAGATCAATACCTGTGATCACCCTACTGGTTTATATGGAAGCCCATTTCCAAAGTCTTTATTAAGTTTAATGAGATATTAAGTCACAATATTGAGATACTAAGTCAAAATATTACAAAGTTTGAAAGTTTCTCATTATATTGACTTAAAGAACCTTTTTTTCCCGTCACATTGGCAGAAATGTGCTTCCATAGGTTTATGTTAAAATGGCTGCTGTGAAAAAGGTCTGTTGCATCCCTGATAAATGCAACATAAAAGTATATAAAGGTACATTTATTGTTGCTTGTTATCAATAGTGGAAAGTTACGCAGCCTTAATGCTCAATTCTGATTTATTGCTTGAATCTGATTTTATTTATTTATTTATTTTCTGTTTGGTTCTTCATGTTATTTGTTAAACTTGACCCATATCAGAGACCAGTGTGTGAACAGGTCACGGTCCTGACGCAAAAGTCACATGTATTCTGATACTGTTCACACTGAGGTCACATTGAAAACAAATCTGACCTGTATCTGAAACATATGAAAACGATCAGAGTCTGTGTGATTTGTGCTGTTCAACACTGACGAGCTCCACGAGGCTCTTGTGTTTATTATGACGTCTTATATAACAATATATATATATATATATATATATATATATATTATATATCAGTCAGAGGGTCAATTATTCTGTAGAAAAAGTACTTAACTTTTCATTCTCTAAGATAATTTAGCTAAAAAAAAATTTTAATTTATGAATGCAAAAACTAAATGCATACAGTGTGGTATCACGTTGTACTTTTGAATACCTCTCGCACCTCTGATGACAAGAAGTGGTGGAAGAAGAACTTGTTTACAACAAGTTCTTCTTCCACCACTTCTTGTGTTAGACTCCAGGAATGAAAATGTTACAGCTTAATTATAATCAGTGAATGTACTTTTGACCTTTGTGAGTTTCTACAGATACACGTTGTAATAGATGATTATTACTGATACATTAATATAAGCAGCATTTTGCTGTTGTAACTGTCTAATAGGATGCTTGAATAGTTTTCTTAATGAATCGATTGATTGTTTGTTTCGTAAAAATTCTGAAAATAGAGAGAAATGGCGTCACAATTACTGAAAATCTTTACAGTTTCTTGTTTTTGTCCGACCAAACCTCATAATTATTAAAAAATAAGCACACAGCAAAAACTCCAAACAGACGTATCCTGTGTATATTTTGTGATAACAGCACATGACACCATTAAAGGTCACAGTTAGGTCACCTCAATGTCAATCTCCTCTGAGCACAGATCAAGTTATAATATAATATATATCATCTTTTTATATTTATTTATTTTAAACATTGCACATATTCAATGTGAGTGTCACCTGGCTGCAAATCCAATTTGAGCAAATTTAGCTTTATTTTCAAGGGACGAAACATAATTTGAGTTGAATGGACATCAAGATAATGAAGGTTATCTTTTGGTCTCTGTGGTAATCATCATACCACGGTTATACAATCTGTGCTGGTCCTTTCTTTAGGCGGCAAATTCTGCCACTGTAATGCTAATTTTACTGATTTTACCCTCATTTGAGGAATTTCCAACCTGGAAACAAACAGATCAACCTAAACTGTCAAAGACAAGAGAGAAAGAAGTGTTTTAAAAATCTTATCAGCGCTGCCAGTGTTAGTTCAACCTTTTAATTATCAACGTTTAATTTAGATACCATGTTCCGTTTGATATTACACACCCTGTTATCATAACCTTGCCACATTAGGAGCACATATACGGAACATATGCATGTGTCTTTACCGCCGTTATCACGGAAAACGCATACAGTGCAATGTAAACACAGACCTACAGCTTTCCAGACTGTACATACATATTCGTCAAGAACGTTTTCACAGGTGCTTTGTTGACAAAAATGCTATCTTCTGTTTTGTCGTTAGGTTGCCCTTGAGTTTGTGTGTTCATTAGTCACGTGTCCGACTGATCCTTCATGTATAAATCACACCTGTGACTCTCGGAGGCCGACAGTCCTGGACACATGACCACGACGATGTATACTTTGAGCTTCCTGTGTGCCTTGGGCCTCTTTGCTGCTCTTCAGGTGCCTGGCACCTTGGCGGAGGATGTGGAGCCCTTGGCAGTAAGTGAGATGAAATGTCCAGTCTAATTATAATATATATATATGTGTGTGTGTGTGTGTGTGTGTGTGTGTGTATGTTCCTTGTATTGTTATTTTTATTCCAATGTGCATTAAATCAACTATTATTTTCTCTCTCATCTCTGAAAACCACACTGTACCTGAAGGAGGGTGAGTGTTATTATTATTTATACATACTCTAATCTTCACTAAGATTTATAATATTCATACATATTCAAACTTTTTTTTCTGGTTTTAAAATGTGTTTGTTTAGGCACCGTCCTGGTCTCTTCCTCAGACAAGGTTGAGATTGTGAACAAGCATAATGCCCTGAGGAGAGGTGTTCAGCCTACTGCCAGCGACATGTTGGAAATGGTAACATTTCTCACTCCATCCAACCTATAAGTCCAACATTTGATGCTCCCTCATATAGCATATCAGTAAAAAAGAATTTAAAAAAAGCAGTTGGATATTTTCTGGTGTATATACTGTAGAGGTCTGTATGTCCTAATTGCTGATCTGTCCTCTGCTCCCTGCAGAAATGGAACAACGAGGCTGCAGCCAATGCTCAGAAATGGGCCAACACCTGCTCCATGAAGCACAGCCCTGCCAGCTCCAGAGAGATCAGCAGTAAGTTCATTATAACACCTCTTCTTTTCTTTTTTTATTAAGCCATACCTCGCAAAAAGTTAGCCCCACTAACTAACAAGCTACTACTGTGTCACCCAACTTTAACAAGCATTTTATAATGTGTAAAATCATCTGAAACAGTAGATCATCATGTGAGATTAAACCCTACACCAGACTAACACAATTATTGCCTTTGGATTGAATGCATATAATTATAGCTGTGGGCTAATTAATTGTAATGTTGTTAATAGTCTGTAATCCATTATAGAAAACAATCCATAATGACATAATGTGGATTATTATTTCTCAGAAATAGGAAGTGTTAGTTTTTTGTTTTTGTATTGTTTGTTTTATGTAGGTGTTATTTTATGTAATTATGATAAATGATTTTGCATCGAAAAAAGTTTTATGTGGCACTGGTTGGGGAGGAGCCTCCATCATACCAGAGGTGGATAAAAAGAGTCTGATATTTTATAAAAAAGTCAGTGTAGATTCAATATGAAAGCCACTATGTTGGCTCTCAACCAAGGCTTGTAATATTTTAAAAACAGAGCAAATATTTTAACTTCAGATCAGATCTTACACGTGATTCATCATCAGTACTTCAGAAATTGTTCTTATTCTAACAAAGCGCTACATGAACTGCACATAAAGTGGTTCAGGGTTCAGCTCAAGTTCCTGGCTTTCACAAAGACAACCTGCAGTGGAGATGATGAATTTCCTTTCTCACTGGGTTTTAAGAATACTAAATTATCCCTCTGTCCTCCTCTTCAACTGCAGCTAGTGGCTGTGGGGAGAACCTGTACATGTCCAGCTTCAAGAACACCTGGAGCAACGCCATCCAGTCCTGGTATGACGAGGTGAAGGACTGGCGCTACGGAGTGGGAGCCATCAACGGAGGAATGATCGGACACTTCACACAGGTGAACTTTAAACCACAGCTTGTACAGCACTTGTTAATTCTGACTACCTTAACATACAACGGCCATCACTGAGTGAAAACTGTAATTAATGTAAAAGTGACAGTACATTTAAGCCATGAGCTCCTGATGATTTTGTATTTTATTTGTGGTTCTCTGCAGATTGTTTGGTACAGGTCCAACTATCTTGGCTGCGCTATGGCCCACTGTCCCAACTCTGCATACAAGTACTTCTACGTCTGCCAATACTGTCCACCGTAGGTTCAGGAACATTTACCTCTTTTTCAATGCAAAGTCTATCATGTTTTCTCACTTTTAGTGAATATTCACATGAATATTTGTGTTCATATTCATGTTTCCATTGAGTTAAATGGAGCCAATATCAACCTCCATTATGTAATATTAAATATATTTGGGAGTTTATTAAAGAAAGTGTTGATTGTAATACAAATAATGTAAAAAAAAAAAAAAAAAAGCATATGATTTACATCTTGAAAGATGAACCGAATCGATGCAAATGCTTTTCAGTAAGAAGGAGAAAAACTGCAATTTGCATCTATCTTTGTCCTTCCTTGCCATGCTGAATAGTCATTAAATAGTCATTCAAAAGTGATTTTCCCTTTTAGATCATATCCATGACATGTATCCGCTGTGTGAGTCTTTATGCTGGTACATTTAATATTTGATGCTTTGGACTACATTACAGTGGAAACTACCAGTACGCTCGCCCCTACCAGCAGGGACCCACCTGCGGTGACTGCCCCAATGCCTGCAACAACAAACTGTGCAGTAAGTAGCAAATATAGCACTGGAAGATTTATTCTGTGTTCCAATCCAGAAAGTTTTTCTTTTTATCTTTAGTACGTACCACAGCTGCCCCACAGCTGTTCATACACAAGAAAGAAAAAGGAACATCATTATCATTATCTTTGAATGAAAAGGGCTGATTGGACTTCATGACATGTACAGTCACTTTATTACACTATGTCTTGATCCTGCTCCCATTCTACAGACAGATCTTCACAAGTTAGTTTTTCAGAGAGAATTCAATAATCCTAGACCCTAAAAATCTATGACAGTGGCCAAGTGTTACTGGAATTGGTTCATCTTTACACACACTCTTTTTTAAGATGTTCATTTTAGTTTGACATTATCAGGAGGACATTAAACTAAATACTACTAAATGATCATGGGTCACTCACTATTGTAGTCCTTAATATAAAGAGAATAGAGATGCAGGACTGGGTGACATCACATTACTAATGCAATAAATAATCATAAAATCACTCTAAGTCAAACAGCAGAAAGTAAAACATGAAGATAATGAGAATTATAGATTACCTGATCACCTGAAATTTGCTACTAACTTCATCACTTTTAAAAGAGCTTTACTCATGTAAAGTTGTGAAATGTAGTGTCTTTAATTATGTGTTTTATGTATTACGTTCACCCTCTTTTTACGTTTCTGTTTTTACCTCTTATTTTCATAAAGCCCCTCCAGGGGTTGCTGTGAATTAGCATCCGCTATAAACACAGATACTTATGCATACTTGCAAAAAAATAGTCAGTTTTTTGTGATAGGGAGACCATCCAGCTTCCTAATATTGGCTACTTCCAGTTTTACCCTTTGTCGGTTTCCTGGATCTTAATGTAACGAACAAGAAAGGAAAACTCTTATTGATATTCGACCCAACCAGTGAGATAATCTTGGAGAAGAAGTTGGAGGAGTTTGCAGGACTCCAGTCCATATTAGCGAGCTCTCTTGAGTGACATTTCTTTTTTTTTTTAAATGTACTCATCCTTTTCTCTGTTTCCTCCAGCCAACCCATGTCCCTACGCTGATAAGTACAGTAACTGTCCTGATCTGAAGAAGCAGTGGGGCTGCAGCAATGGTGACGTGGCCTCCTGGTGTCCCGCCTCCTGCAAGTGCACCAACCAGATCATTTAAATGTCCACACAGGCTCTGACTCATCAGTCAGTTTCAATAAACGCACTCATCATTAAAGCTTGTGTCCCTCTGATTTAATACTCCAGGATATTTGACCTGCTCAGTAATCAGCAGAGATTAAAAAGGAAATTTACTTTGGCCCAGTGCCTCTGTGCACAAACACTGCCTGCAGAGCCAGATGCCCTTTTGACTGTATATAAGGTGTAAACTCACAAAGAAGAAGAAGAACACACTTGACAGGGTGGATTTGGCGGGAGTCGGGAGGAAAAGATAAATCCACAGAGATTTCCCCCGAAGCTGAGCCAAGAAACAGTTTGACACCACACCTGAACGCTGTGGTTGATAATAAAGACTACTGATAAAGTTTGATCCCTTTACAATCATGGATCCAGACTTACTGCTATATTTTGTGTGTAGTTCTGGTAAAATATGAGACGGATTAATGTTCCAGTGAGAGCACCTTTTTTATTTTATGACACTGAAAACACCATTAGGTAGATTTTGGGAGGGCTTCCTGTAGAATCGGGCTGACTCCACAGGAAGCTGAAAAGGTAATTTCCCGTTAGATAAGATGGCAACCTGACCATGAAATACATTACTTTACTTTAGTATTGAGCTATTGTATGTAACGAATGTACAAACATTATGCTTTAACTCCACTACATTTCAGTAATATTGTACCTTTTACTCTGCAGTTACTAGTTTTATTTTGCATATTTTCAAGTCAATTTAGTCTAAAATGGTAACTAGGGGCAATATTTTAATACAAATCAACTTTTTACGGAGCAATGGTACCTTTTTATTCTTTCTTTTTTTTAAACAGGTTTAAATATTCAGACTACAGGTTCAGGACTCAATTATTAACATAAATTATTTTTATACAATTGTGTTTCTTTGCAGATTTAAACAGCCCAACACTCGACTATAAAGCTGTTAAAATCAGCTCCACCTTAACCAGCTACAACAGAAATGCTGCTCACGCCTTAATAAATTACTAACAATAATCCTATAATATATATAAAACACTATGATTGACATCACTTTTGTAAGTATATATTTCTGATAATACTTTTACTTGTAATGGAGCCCACAAATTACATAATACAATTAAGTATGTACTCGGAGCGTATCTTTTAAATTACTGAGTACCGATTAATAATAACTACAGAATACTGCAGTGAAATTAGTTATTGCTTCATCCATCCATCTATTATTTATAACCTCTTATACTTTGGAGGTTCGCCGGATGGCTTGAGCTGATCCCAGCTGACATTGTGTGAGAGGTGAGGTACCCCCTCCACAGGTCACCAGTTCAGTTTATTGCATCATGGTATCTTAAAATTATGACTCATTTAATATATATATATATATATATATATATATATGAAGCTATAGTGATTATTAAAGGACCAGGATGTAGGATTTAGTCACATCTAGTGGTGCAGTTGCTGATTCCAACTGATTAAACACTGCTGGCGTCTGTATTTGATGAGCTGGGAGTGTGTAGGAGAAAATGTGACTGTAAAACTGTTTATAGAAACATGGCGGTTCAACATAGCAGACTCCATTGATGGCGACCCACAGTGTATGTAGATAAAAACGTCTCATTCTAAGGAAACAAAAACAAAACAGTTCTTATTTCTTCTTTCAATTCCTTCTTTCACCTATGAATATCATATTCCATTTCTGTCAGTAGATCCTCCTAATTGTTACACACTGGACCTTTAAGTTAAATATAATATTGATATACTTCATTTTGTGATATTGTGTCAAATAACAGCAAAAACAGTGAATCGATGTTTATGGTTAAAACCCCAACTGCTACATAGCATTGTTGTGAATGTAAACTGAAGGTTATGATGTTGGATGTCCAGGGAATGAAAACTATTTAGATCAGATTTTATTCATACAGTGTTGTGTTCTTTATACTAAGACAGTTTTCCTTTGCAGGTTTTTTTCATTAAATCACAAAATGTTGCAATGTATTGAATCGTAACCCCTGTATCATGATACACACAGCCCTAACCTTTAATTAAATGTGCTTTGTTATTGTAGCTGGGCTTTGGACCTCCAGAAATAGATGTTTGACGTCATCATTATCGGTGGCAGAATCAGCCCTCCGTGAAAAGTAGGATGTCCTTTGTCATGTCAGTCTGTAACACTCCTTTCAAACTGCATGCTTTTACTTTGCATTTGAAAAAGAAGATGCTCCTACTTACCCACATCAGAGGCTGAGAGAGAGTGACTCTCCTCAGGGGTCAGCCGCACATGTTCAGGCTGCACAGCAGGCTCCTGGTTCAAATGGGGCTGTGTTTGTATGAGTTAGGCTCATTGAGTCTACACTTGGATGGATCTACAGGCTCAACTGGTTGGAATTTATCCAGACTCGATGTGCTTAGGGTTTTTTTTTCTTCCTGTTACGAGTCTGTTGTGAGTTTCCACTCCGCACTTACAGAAGAGGTTGTTTTCATTTTCACTCATAAAAATAATCCGCTCTAACTTCAACATTAGATTTCCTATCGCCACGCTGTCACACGCTCTGCTATTGTGTGGAAATTAGCTCCCATTGATGTGATAACAAACTTCTTTCATTGAAAATAAACACTCGGGCTGAATTTGTGTAATCTTGTCCGCATGCCAAAGGAGCCTTGCTCTTAATACCGCAGCATGTAAGAGTCATATAAAAAGTCTGGGCCTCATGTTTCTGCTCAGTCACTGCAATCCCCCTGAGGTTAACTTAGGATGCAGATGAAACTACTACCTGAAGTGAGCGGACAGGGGAGCTGGAAGGAGTGTTATTCCCCAGCAGAGGGGAGATAAAGGGGTGAGTCTTTCCTCTGTCAGTTGGTCCAGCGATAGCAGAGGTCGTCTGCGTTGGCCAACCTCGATAAGACTGGCTGTGCCATCCTGTGGGGCTTATCAACTCCACCAGCGAGCCTCAACAGTTAGTCCCGGGGCCAGAAAATGTTTATGACTTTGGCGTCAGTTTGTCTTCCTGAACAGCAGATTGTGTAATATGGGGCAAAATAATGACGATGTGCATGTTCTGCATTGTTTTGGCTGTTGTAGATTTTATATAAATCAACAATGTGAGCTGCTGAATCCTGCAGCAAAGACTGACCTCATTTAAACTGAGTTTGAATCTGACATGTTAACACAGCGTACTACAGCTCCAGCAGACAGCTCTCTCTGTGTCTAGTGACAGAGAAAGTAATCAAATGAAGGGGATACATTTCCCCTGCTATTTCTTTTAATGAAATCGCGTTAGAAAAGAAAAGTGTGGAAAAAAAAGAAAAGAAAGAAAGAAGAGAAAGAGGGAAAGTTGGCAGAAACACACAGAGACATTTTCATAGGCAGGAAGATGCAGGGAGATCAGTTACATCAGTCTGTCCAGTCTGAAGACAGCTCATTAAGTCTGAGCTCTTATCGTGCCACATCGCGGTCCCTTCGGATAAGAAACAGGATTCTGAAAAAAAAAAAACCCAGCTCACTCCATTTGAATCCGACTAAAGATCTCAAGGCTCAGTGGAGCAAACTGTATTTGATTTATCGTGTTCAACTGACTTTAAAACCAAGATTAAATGCTCCATGACAGCTGATTTGGTTTTAAACTAAAGAACTGGATGTGATGGTTTCACCCTGCAAGTGTTTCTGTATTGTTTAAACCATCAAGTGCTCATTGTTCATTCACATCTCTTACCTTGTATAAACACGTCTGGCACAGATATTGACTGAAAGAACCAAAGTATCACTAGGTTTGGTTTTGGAAAATTAGTGTTTAACTGAGCAGGTTTCATTAAAATAAAGCAAACAGCAGTTCAGTTGTGGTTGAAAGGGTTTTTTTCTTCTTCTGACACAAAGGGGAAAACCTCACTTCCTACTGAATATTTGTGGATTTACCTTTACCTACAAATACAACCGTCAACTCTTCCATTGAGGTTCAGACTGAAAGAAAATGATTGTTGGGGTCATTCAGGCCTCACATAGCTCAGATCCAGGGCTGTGACCATGAATGGCTATTGGAGGGAACATTTCAGTCACTCATCTGTCTGGATGATAGGTTTGTGTAAACAATATTTTATTTGCCAGTATAAGTGCTCAGGATCAGGGCCTCATACAGTCGCCCCACCTGTGCGAAGCGAGCTCCTGTCCACTGGGTGCTATACAGGAACATTCAGACGCCCCTCTAATGAAAGCAGAGCGCTGTAGTTGTGCAGCTTCCTTCCTTCCTCTCATTGAAGGCTTTTGAGATGTGGCACAACAAAACTTGCCAACAGGCTCCTCAGTTCGCTTCTTAAGCTTTCATCACAAATGCAGGAACATTGCAAGAACAAACTCCAACTCAAAGCCCGGCTGACAACGCCTCCGTCACATGTCAAAGCACTGACAGGTCACTTTCATCGATAAAGGCCTGAAGAAAGGAGGCTTGTAGTCATGGCAAACACTTTATTTCTAATCTGTATGTGGTAGCTGGCTCTGTAGTATCCACATACTTCCCTATATTGTCCTGGAAATCTCATAACCTTTGCACTGGGAACACAACATGGGGCTTTTTTGTGCTCCATTCTTCCTCCAGTGCCTTTTAGTGTGAGTTTATTTTACAAGTGAGCGTGATAGCTACGAGTTCAACCGCTGGCCAAAGACGTAGCCCTCCCAGCAATACCCAGTTAAGTAAAACAGGCCTGGTTCACGTCAGCCATTAGCAGACGGGTGTTGTTCTTTCGCCAAGACGCTGTTTGATAGCTGTTCTCACTCAATGGTCCTCCAGCAAATGTACATTAAACAAACACTGGGAGAGGGGTCCCAAGCGAGCAGTAGAGGAAATGGTTAAAGTGGGTGTAGGCGTGTCCCAAACACAATGTATGGCTAAACATTCATTCACAACCACAACTGTGAAAAACAATAAAATTAAGAGTGAGAACGGACTCGAGAGCTCAAGAAATAGTTCAGTGTGTGTTTGTTTGGTGTAATGACACAAGCAAAGTAGGATTAAGCAAAATACAAACACACGGTTCATTAATACTCTCATATTTTTAATCTAGTTGTAAAGAAACTAAATACAATAGTTTTTTTTTTATGTTTTTACACTTCCTGATAAGTTGCATTTACAAAGGTTGTAACTAATGGCTTTTGTTCAATTGCTCCAATCATTGATATATTTTATTTTATTTATTTCTATCTTTTGTTGATTGGGTTTTTAATTTAAAGTTTTATTTATTACTATCTTTTTCTATCTTTCTCCCTACTATAGTTTTGTTTGTTTATGTGTTTGTTTTCTTGTATTCTGTTATTGACTGTTGTGTCACTGTTATCGTGTGTAAGGCAAGAAGCTAAAAAAACCCCACTATATATAATAATTAAGTACATACTTCACTGTTAACTGCCTTATAAATTGTTGATCATGAGGGGAAAAAGATCAGATTTTGGGTTGCCGGGTTGTTAAAGATCTCTTTGGCTGGTATCTGTCATATTTATTGGGTAACAATGATGTTATGAATATTAGTAGTCCATTAATAAATGTTTAATAAGTTGTTAATAAATGGATTTTGGTCCAGATCTTTTGCAGCTCTCATTGCAGGGAAGCGGTTGTACCAATTATTATATGTTTTATTTATAAAGGTTTAACAGCTTTCTTAAATAAAAAAAGTAAAGCAGCTTTTCTACAAGCAGATCTATATCTACCTGTATCTACATAAAACTAAACAGAAGATAAAAACGTCCAAACATGAATTTCTTCATGATGATAAAGTGAAAATACAAACATCTTCACTTTCACTCTGGTATTTAATAAATGCAAACAAAAGATTCCTTTTGGGAGTCAGAATTAATCAGATTTACATAACGTCTCAATCTCTTTGTCAACACAAGAATGTAAATCGTGTATGTGTTTATTTATTTTTGCAATGGGGCATAACCACAGCACATAAAAAGGGAACTTACACAATAAAAAACAAGCCACAGAAATAGTCCAGACAAAAACAACATGGCAACAAACCAGCAGTGACCTGCAGTGCAGCAACAGAAGGTTACACTATATATTACACTACCACAGTACCAGCTGTAGAGGACTAAATACTCCATGTGCAAACTGCAGTTGGCAGAAATGAACGTTGGCTCCTGCTCTGCAGCGTACGAGTGATATATGCGTGTTATTAAGTGCAATGGCAGATGGGATGAAAGCGGTCCTGTTACCTTTTGAAGCCGGGGGCAACAAAGACATCCTGATATAAGGGCCTGAACCACAGTGTTATAACATAGTAATTATATTTCAGTTACTGAGAGAGCTCGAGTTATATAGATGTTACAAAAACCATATTCATATCATTACGAGAAAAACTGCTTTCGTGTGCACTTTACATTATTTACAGTGTTTATAATGAGTTGAAAGGTTTCAGTTATCATCATATTGAGACTGAACGAAAATTGTTTGCTGGGCGAAATATCAGCATTTAGATTCTGAACAGATTCAGATTCCCTAACCCTGAGGAGGAGGCGGTAGAGTGGGTCGCCCACTAATCAGAAGGTTTGTAGTTTGATCCCCGGTTCCTCCTGTTGCATGTCGAAGTATCCTCGAGCAAGATACTGAACCCTAATACTGTGCATTGGTATATGAATGTGTATGAGTTAATTCACTGTATGAATATGGGTTAATGTGGCATAAAGCGCGTTCAATGGTCAGAAGACTAGAAGGGCGCTAAGTATGTTAGCTTATATCCCACAGACTACTACAAGAATACTTGTAGTAAAGTGAATGTGAAAGATTTTTTTGTATGATTATGTGAATACAGCATAAGGCTCTCTTTTGGTCATTATTATCATTACCATGCCAACAGAGGCCGCCTTTTTGTATCACAACATATTGTGCCATGATATACTGTTACACCCCTGTAGGTTATATCTTCAAGGCAACCACATCTTTTCCTAAGCTCAGAATACATTTTTTTCAAAGGTTAGCTTCGGTGCCTCATGCAAAGTCCCTTGTCAGCATTCATACTGCATATTTCCTGAAATATATTTCTGTATGAAATTCTTGAAAATTGATGTCTGGGAAAAATTCATGAACTGTGCATCTGCCCCAGTGTATTACAACACAGGGGAGGCCTAACGCCCTGACAAATATTGCATGAGAGCGCGTTATTTTCTCCAGAGCGCTGTTCTCACTGCAGTTCTCTAGCTATTTTTCCACTCTTGGCCTCAATAATAAATAAGCCCCACAGGTCTTTACATCTGCTTATCGCTGCTGCCACAGTAATCTGACACAGACGTTTGCCGGGCCTGACATTTACACAGAAGACGCGGAGAACATTCCTCTTTCTCATCCTGGTAAATCTGTTTGCCATTAGCCGGTGTCAAACAGATGCAGGGACCAAATCCATAAGCTTCACTCAGGAATGGCTTGGTCATGCAAGGGTCAATCACTCACGGTTCATTATTTCAGCGGCAGCCCATGCATTCCTGCTTACAGCAGTTGTGTGACGTGAGAGAAGGAAGGTCAAGTCCAACAGGATAGAAGTTTGGGTTGCAG